CGTTTCTCGGCTGGTTGTACAGAAACACAGCGACGGTTTAGAGAAACTTTTACCTGGCTGAGAATTTGATCCGGCCATCTGCGAACCGACTTCTGGAACTGTGTGTTCCCCGGCCTCGTCCCTAGAGGGACAGGAGTCTAAAAATTATTTTGGACAGGGAATTAAAGCGCCCTTCTTACTGAGTGATTTATTCTATGGATAAATATCTGTACAAAAGAATCCTCCAAAACAGGAGGTCTCCTGATCGAATTATTACAAATCCGGTTTGTGACTTTAACCATTGGACGAAAAACTTTCAGATTTAAATGACTGTTACTATGTTTACTCTTACTAAATTTGATATGAATTCCATCTAGACTACTTCTTGCGACTTATCGTCACGATCGCATAGGCAAACCATCCCGCAGACACAGCGTCCAAAATTTTGCAATTTTCTTTACTTGACTACGCTTTTGTGACGGATGTTCCATTTTTGTAGCATACTTAGTCGGGGTACTGCAGTGGTAATAAGGTTCCTCATTAATTGTTCAACAAGTTTAGAAACACCCCTATTTAAATGCTCAGTAACAGGCAATTGTAGGTTGTTATGCATATCCAATGCCACACCCCAGATATTGTGTTCATTATTGTTATTTTTCACCTCACTGAGGCACAGTTCCTCAGTTTCAGTTAATAACCGCTGCATATTTATCCTTATCTCTCATTTTGCGTTGTCACTGTATATGGGCGGCAAATGATTTTTATACGCTGGAAATTGCCACCTTCTGCTCGACAGTTCAACAGTTGCTTTTTACGACTCATAGACCATGCTGCCCATAAGTGTTTACAGTTTATGAAATATAACAGATATATAACGCTATAACATGTAAATACTGTGTTTTCTTTAGGTCATGGCATCGTGATCGATCGTACTTTCGATGGGCGGGTGTTTATCAATGAAACGCGAGTTGAATGGAACTACGGAGACGGAATACGTTATATTCCTCAACTTGGCTTATCGTACCATCCAGTGATCGGTACTGATTGGTTTGTCGTTAATCAGTCAAGACTTGTACCCTTCAGACGGCACAGTCGGTCGCGATTCGGTCGCATACTACGAGCCGGAAAAGCCAGAGGTGGACATTTGCTCACAGCGCAATCTCGACGGTCGAAGCAGGTTATTCCCTCGTACGTTTTCAGCCTCCCTCATCAACGGAACAATGCTTTTGGCCGATTCGGCTCCGTTTCCTTGTTACGCGGTACGTGTTCCATGAAATGATATTTTTCGGTTTTCATAAATTCGTCTGTAATTTCATCTTATGTCCAAGGCAGAGTACTTTGATAGTACTGCAATGCTGCAAAATGGTCATTACAGAGATTCTGAGCACTGCGTTGAATTAAAATTGCATATTGATTTTGCATAGGTTTATGTGTGCATCTAATTTATAAATATAACCAATCTATACACATTATTTAAATATGTTGTTAGAAATGAGAACTCCGCCGCTGCCAATGTGGAGCCTGGATGAGAAAGGTGAATGATTGGGAACCGTGGCAAATTCTTCCGTAAAACTTTGCCAACTGCCCCTCATGGTGTCGACGTTTTCGAACGTTATACCGGCTCTGTCATCGCCCTGATTTCAAATGGCGCGCAGGCCATTAGTTAGGCAAAGCAACCTGCGTTTAACATTGTAGATCAGTAGATAGATAAAGAGAACCAGATAGATAGACAGACGGATATGGATAGACTGATCGATGGCGGGACGGATTGATGAATAGGCATGTACATATGTAGACGTAGAGATAGGTAGGGAGGTGTGTGTGTGGCGGGGGAGGAAGGCCTTTAGTTAGGTAAATAAATAAACAAATAGAAAGGACAGGAAGGATAGGTAGGTAAATAGATAAGCAGGCAGCCAGGCAAACATCTATGTTAGCATTTAGGTTTGTAAATCGTTAGGTACGCAGGCAGATAGGTAGATGAATGGTAAGTATGTAGGAGGCTAGACAGATAAACACAGAAACGGGTCGGGTAAACCGATACGGACGCAGTCATCTGTATCTTATCGATTGTGAACGACTCGATTGATTAGACATATGCTGACGAACTGGATTGGTCTCAAATGGAACCCTTCGTATTTGTTATTAGAATATTATAGTGATGTACCTCTTTTCTTTTAACTTTGCCCTGAGGTATGTCTTGCGAGATTGGTTGACAAGGCCTTGATAAATGAACGCCGATGAATGAGTAGCGTATCTGTACCTCAGAATGGCAGTCAATAAGTCGAGTACTCGACCTCGATCGATTTCACTTCGCAAACAGTCGACCTTTGTTTGAAACGTGAGAAACAATGCTCAAATGAACAAAGATCAGACGTTTGAGGTAAACGTTCATTCTTTTACGCTAGACTGCGACCGCCTGAGAACTTCTCTCCTGCCTAACCTGCGAAAACCAGAAATGATCGTCGTGGAACTACTTTGTTATCAAATAGCCGAATAGCGTCCCGTCAACTTTAATTGTAAGTGATTATCCATTCCCGTCCAAAACAAACCGTTGTTCTGCCAGCGGTGACTGCTCTAAAAGTAAGAACGTTTCAAAATACGCTTAAGCTTGCCACCACTTTCAGCGGTACTTCGAAAAATAATGCAAGGTTTAAATATCATAAACCAGTAACATCCTTAGATGCTCCCAAGGGACGATGAAATTACGCTATGTATAAATAGACAGAAGCAAAAGATGCTCCTTCTGCTGAATATCACCAGAATAAATCGCTATCAAGTAGATCAAAGCGAATTGCAGCCTTATGAGACACTCGCATCATTCTGCAACACTATACCTCTGATCTGGTCTGCTATGACCATATCAGAACACCGTTCTGTCCCTGTTGTTCACAACACAGTGACTTGCTACTCATTTCTCGGCTGAATGCATCGAAGAAATTGTGGGGAGGGGGGAGAGAAAAAATTCCTTACTCAAGGGAATTAGCGATTAAGACTGATTTTATCTTTTTCGGGATTTAAACCCGAAGCCGAACTCTTTGCCACTTTCTCAGTGTGTTCTGTTACTTGCGTCACGTTTGAGTTTTGTGCAGGCATTGGCGTGAGCAGATTAGAAGAAGTTAGCCTTGTTTCAGTTTAACTCTATACATAATAGCTAGTGGACCATTATGCCTCGATCTGTATAGTAACTCTCCACATCTATGAACTGAATACCAACTTGGTGCAGTAATGTTATGGCTATCATTTTATTCTGCGGCTCTAGCATCAAAGTGTCTCAGATCTGGAATGTCTGATCATTAATCTCTGTGCGACTAATATTAAGCAAGGTAATGGTGGCTTAGATGATGATGATGATGGTGGCTTAGTCGGTGAAGCTGTATGCGCACAGTTGAAAGATCTTGAGCTCGAATTCTGCCATTTGTTCGTTCCGAGATAGGTAAATTAGTGTTGCACTGAAGAAGGGATGCAAGTGACTACGACTTCTGGTCATAGCCAAATTGTGAATGTTACCTTCAAAAATTATGTACATAGTCGATGATACTAAACCGGCTTTTTCCAGACATCTGACTACTCTAAAATCCTTTTGCATACGTTTGAGAATGAAGTGGATAAAGACTTGGTCACATTTGCGACAGGAGTGTAATTGGTCGATTGCTTTTGAGATCCTACGAGTCGCTTTTCTTAAGGAGTTGTGCCGTTCTTGATGTCTTCCACACCTTATGCGTCTTGTTCTGTCTGATGTATTCAGCAAACGTTTGGTAAGTGCTTTCAGCAGGATTGCTTCTAACGCTTTAAGGTGTTTTGGCGATACATCGTCTTTGCCTGGAGATCATCATCATCATCATCTTCCATCGCCGCTTCTCCTTTCGGGTCGCGGAGGCAGACGCGCCAGACAGTG